TGCTTTTCCATTAAACGCGCCGCGGTTTAAGCACATCAATCAAGGTTTTGTAATCACATGACTATTGATTAAAAATATTCAATTATTTCTTCATTTTTATTTATTTATTTATAAATAATAATACATAACAAGCCGACACGTGTAGGGCCGTGCATTAAATAATAATTATTTTTTTTTTTTTGGATCGAGGACATGTGAGGGGAAGAGGGCCTACGTATCTCGTCACGTAGTATGGGGAATCAGTCGTCGTGAACAAAATAAATAAATTAATTTAATTTAAAAAAAAAAACCCTATAAATCCCCTTGGTTCATTTCTCATCTACTCTTCTCTCTCACCTCGATTTCAATTTTCAGCTCCAAAACTTGTCGGAAAACATAGCGATAAGATCGATGGGAAACTGCGTCGAAGTTTTGTCTAGGCGGCGTGAAGAAGAAGAGATGACGACGACGGCGACTACGACAATAATGGAGAAAGAAGAAAGGAAAGGGAGAGTGAGGATAAAGGTAGTGTTGACAAAAGAGGAGCTGCAATGGCTAATGGAGCAAGTTCAGGAGCGAGGAGGGAAAGGGTTAGAAGAATTGTTGGGAGAGATCGAGGGACGAAGAAAAAAAGTAAACGAAGATGGTTCGTGGAGACCTTCTTTGGAGAGTATTATGGAAGTTCCCGAAGTTCCCGATCGGATGGACTCACTTTCTTCGTAACAATTTTCTTTTTGACTCCATTAGTTAACAAATATTGCTGTTTATGTAAGGATGATAAAGACAATATTTACAACCTAATTTTGTAATTATAAATTATTAATTTTTGTCTTTATATTTTTATTTTGATTTATTAGGCTGGCTGATCCCATAATTATAAATCAAAAAGCAACCACCGACCTGACCTAATTACGCATATAGTAGACACCTCCCCTCGAACAAAATGCACCTCCCCTTAATCGAGGCTCGACTCCTTTGGAGTCTTAGTCATTTTTTACTACCTTCGAGGAGGGACTTGGCTCCTTTGGCTCCTTTTTCTTTAAGAGTTCTTTGTTCAATATTTGAGGATTTGAGGATTTACCAATCTATTGGCACGACTAGGTTTAGGGCATGACGGTTTAGGGCATGACTCTGATACCATGTTAGACGAACACGACTCTCCACAATGGTAGGTATGATATTGTCCACTTTGAGCATAAGCTCTCATGGCTTTGCTTTGGGCTTCCCCAAAAGGCCTCACACCAATGAAGTTAGTATTCCTCACTTATAAACCCATGATCACACCCTAAATTAGTCGATGTGGGACTTCCATCATCCAACAAGGCCAACGCCTAATAAATAGTTTTTTTTTTTTTTGATATATGATACCTAAACAAAAAAAAAGAAAAAATCAAAATTAGACCCATAAATTAACTCATTTGTCACATTCGCACTCTTGATGTTAGCGGACTTGCGATTGTGCGGTACTCACTACCCAGCAAGAAGTGAGTTAAGCCAATTCATTCTTATGTCGCCTACGGCCAAGCGACGTATGCTCAATCTTCTTACTCCAGTTCAAGAATAAAGTTTTAGAAAACAGGGTAGGAAGATTTCGAAAAAGAGTTTTAAAAGCAAGATTTTAGAGATTAAAATTTGTGTCATATGTGATGTAAGCAAAAAAAAAAAAAAAAAAAAAAAAAAAAAAAAAAAAAAAAAAAAAAAAAAAA